TCAATGTTGGGATCCTGCAAAACGTGTTTGTAATTGAAAATTACGAACTTATGTCGTATTGAAACAAGTGGACGTGGTCGCTCTAGCTCTTCTGGTGATTTCTACACGATTTAAAAGGACAAACGAGTTCCTCACATGGGATATACAAAAACTTACTTTCTTTGGGTATGACATTGATACTAGATGTCTTTTTTAAAAATGTCTTGTCAATGACAAAATACAGAACAGCCAAGAACTCTGACGTAATAATGGCATTTCGGCTAGCCAAGAACTAAGGACCGTTCGACTAAGAGCATTTTAAAGTTGTTGTGTAGTAGGTGCTAGTAGACCATTAGTTGAATGAACAACTTATTATACCGTTTTCATTTCCAATTGAAATTTTCATAAGATTGCAGAACTAAATGATTGTTATTTGCTTCAGTTTAAATTTTTAATTTTCTACTTATACACTACAGCTTGTATACAGCTTATCACAACTCCACAGGGTAAATATGGTAACTACAATATTACAATAAGAAGCCCGAGCATTCATGTTACTTGTGTAAACGACACTACGTTGGCCGGAAGTAGTAAAGTCACGTGTAGAGATCATAATTGGCAACCCGAGTTTCCTCGATGTTTAGTGAATTGTCCACCAATACCAGACGAACCGAAAATTTTGTCAAAGGAAACGATTTCTTATGTAAAGGTAAGCTCATGACACCTTTAATTTCATATAATCAAGACCGACAATGTTAAAGACAAACTTTTAAGGAATCTTGAATATTCTACAATCCTTTTTTTGTTTTATAAGGGAAGCAGGTCATAATGTTTTGATTTTGTTCAACATACTACAAAATAATTATCGTTTCTAATAAAAGAAAAGAGCTCAGTCAATTTGAAAATATCTTTGGATGGGATGAAATAAAAATTAATAAAACCTCGTTAAGATTTAAAATAAAATTCCTTCTGGGACCTGTGTATGTGATGTTAGCGATCGGTTCGTTATTTATATTTCTCTAATTCTTCGTCAATTTATCCCTTTCTGCACCCATTGTATAAAAAAAATGTAATCAACGTGTGGTTCGTTTGATCTCAGTTCTTCATTGGTTAAATCCGATTATGACGTCGAATTTTCTTGCTTTCCTCTGAATTTCCTATTGTGACGGCATGAACAAAGGCGACCATGCCTGATGACGTCACATAGAAAGAACACATCTTTTTGCAGATCATTCAAAAAGAAGGAATAAGTTTGCCTGCATATTGTTTGAAAATCATTAGAGAAACAGATTCCACCACCAAATCTCGTGTAATACGATATTTATCCACTCTCGACAGTTAAATTTTAAATATCTAAAACGCTCGGCGAGCCTCGCGTTTTAAATTTGATAATTTAACTGTCTCGAGTGGATAAATATCGTATCACACTCGATGCAGTGGTAGCATCTATATATATATATATATATATATAAAAAAAAAAAAATATTTGAATGCAATTTTTTTTTCGCAAATCTTATGCTTCGTTGTCCGCAATTATGACCCCTGACATACATCATGCTTCTTTATTATTTTTATAGTTAATCAATCTTGATCAATTAAACAGAATAAAAATTACTATTTTAAAAACATGACCACTTCAGAAATACATTGACACTTTAGTAACATTTGAAATAATGCATAAGTATGGCAAGCAATAACAGTAATTTTCAAGTCCCTTGATAATCAATCTATATTGAAAAAGACTACTGGCGACTGTTTAAATGTCCATTAAAATTAGTTTAAAAAAGACTTGGTATAGATGCAGATTCATTACGAAAAAAATCATTAGAACACCCATTACGTCTTCATCATGCACGGGGGACTTAAAGTGTCAGTGTGCTGTTAAATCCAGGTTAAAGGGCCAAGGACGTTCGCTAGGCCTTTATGATCTTTTAAACTTCATGAATTTGGCTAAGAATAAGAGAACTTATCGCAGGATTCAAGAGGATGTTATGTTATCTTCGATGTGCACTGTGGGAGGGGGAGGGGCTTCTTATTATATACGGCAGCTATTCATATATGCTCTTGGCACATTAAGCCCTCCGTTAATATAGAAGAAAAATTTCCGGGAAATCATTTTGGAAGGATCTGTATCAATACCTAGTTTAAATGTAAGTTAAATTTGATTGACATTGAAAGACCATGAAAGACTCATGGTCATTTAAGCGTTAGTCTTTTACCATATATTTTGAATATAAAACAGGCACTCTGAGCCTTCTGTACACATTGAAGACACACAGTTTCCATATTTGTTTCTATATGTAGGCTTTATCTATGCCTCATTTTATGAATATTGGAAGATCAGGAAGGACTACCCAACGAGATATCATGTTTTAAAAATACATCTTTGAATGCATTTTGTTAATAAAAATCTATATATATTACAAATAAAAAATTGTAAATATGTAATGGGTTTATATTTGAAGAAAACGAGAATTTAAGATAACTTACAGGGTACAAAAACGATTTCCTACAATTTTTTACACTGTTAATATCATTTTTAATGTAATCGAAATTTCAAATTTTCATTACTTTTGGCTCAGAAAATTTCAATATCGAACAGACTGCTAGCAGCTCTATACAAATTGAATACCGGATGAGGAATAGCGAACCGGCTGCTAGCTTATTATACATAGTGAACCTCATGATACTAGTAAATAAATACACACCACTGTATGATCGTTCTTGGGATGTTAAATGCTATGCACAATAATGATAGAATACCATAAACTACTTCAAAAATTCTTCTTTTTCGATATACCAATATTTTGCAATGTTTGTGTTGTAAAAGTATTTCATTAGTCATTGTTGATCATTTATGTAAAACCCTTCTTCTTGAAACGTCGTACAATTTTCCTATCCTTGTTATATTTGCTATTATGCAAATATAAAAAAATCCGTCATTAAATATATTATTACCGGAGAGTCGATCTCGCTGCAGATAGACCCAGTGGTTACCATTCTTTAAAACTCCATACAGCATTATTGTTCGGGTCATACTTCCCTTTCTTTACACACGTGGTGTAAAGAAGCGTAGCCTTATGTCACCACTTTTTCGGAGTTTGACCATTCTCGTCAGTAATTGGTTCGATAGTCATGTGATCTAATAGATATTTTCTTTTTATATAAAATTTAAAACAATCAGTTTTCAAATTCGATCATTAATGTTTTCAGTTTTAAATTAGGTAAAATAACGTAAAATTTGAGGCCTTTGAAATCTTAAAGAACTTTAACGTAAAATATGTGCAAGATGAAACGTCCTTGAAGATACGATGTTTTTTTCCTTGTATTTGTTTCTGTGATAAAAGTATGTGCCATTTGATCCGTGTCGTGCTCTTACTATCCTGCATTTCAATCGGAAACAACTTTGAACACGAATGATCCTTTAACTAAATGTTTATTCCATATCGTTGAAAGTTATTATAAATAGCAAGCTATAATATACAGTGACACAGACGACAACATGGATTAAAGAAAAAAAAGAAAGAAAAATGAATAAATGTTTAGAGTAAACTCTACAGAAATTTGAAGGATTAAAAAGACTAATCCCATAAAAGTCCGGAGATAAATTCCGCCAATTCGAAAGTATAGCAATGCAGTTCCTGCTTACTTATTGGTACCTATTGTGTTACTCCTACATTTAGAGATCCGAAAATAAATGTCATTCTGAGATGTTATAATGAGAGAAGAATGGGATTGTAGATTTTTAAATTTCTCTTAGGGAATACAACGGTCTTAATATTTCAGACTTACGACAAAAATCGAGCAGCTGGTACAACGATTTCCCTATCATGTTTTACACCCGGGTATATTGTAAATGGTTCGTCTAGTATCACATGTCAACATGATAGATCATGGATGCCTAAAATTCCGAAATGCAGACGTTAGTATTTAATATTATACGTTGTTATGATGTTTAACCATGTGTTCCAAACTTGTCCATGGATAGTTGTCTCATTGCCACATCTTACACTTATTCTGCGTGCAAATATGAGTAATCTTTTTTATTATGGAATCGATCAACCAAAAAATTAAAAAGAATAAGGAATCTCATTAAATCAAACATTTCTTTATTTTTTTAAGCTTAGGGGAATTGCAAAAGTGACGTCATGTCAGATCAATGTTTATTTTAAATACCAGACTATATCCTCATATACATAATATAGATAAGACTTGAGGTCAACATAGGTGAAACACAACCACCCTTTCAACTCATAAGATTATACATAGCTGCGTTTGACGCCTTTCTGATACGCGCCAATGGAACGTTTAAAAATGTTACTAACTATAATTTTATAGAAGTTTATCATTCACCTATAGATAATAAAAAAGATGCTGAGTACATTTTAAAAAGCCAATGAAACAGCAGCACAAAAAAAAAGAAGAAAAACTTTCACTTTATTATGTATTCTTCTTTTCAAAGCTGTTCGAAGCTGTAAGTAAGACATGTGTTCTTCTAAGACAACATGCCAAAGAAAAAGCAACACAAAAAAGGAAAAACAAATTCAATTTATTATGTATTCTTCTTTTCAAAGCTGTTCAAAGCCGTAAGTAAGTAAGACATGTTTTCTTCTAAGACAACATTTTCGGAAAGAAATAGTTAATAAAACTTTAAAAGATAATACATATGTTAAGCTTGAATAAAATATGTTACAACTTCAGATTTACAGAAATGAGAAGTCTAGAATTTCAAAGGGTACTAATTATAATAACTGATCATAACACTGAGAAGGGAATTGGGGAAAGTGTCAAAGAGAAAACAACCCGACCAAAGAGCAGAAAACAGCTCATGCCCACCAATGGGTCTTCACTTCAACACAGCGAGAAAATCCCGCACCCGGAGGCGGGCTTCAGCTGGCCCCTAAACAAAAATGTGTACTAGTTTAGTGAAAATGGACGTCACACTAAACTCCCAAACATATAAATCATCATAACTGTTTGTTCCTTTTTTTCTACAGCTAAACAGTTTCCACCAGAGAGACGGTGGATGACGATATTAGCTATAGCTGGTCCGGCAGCTTTAGTATTGGTAGTTTGTGTCATTGTTTTAGGAAAACTATTACTCATTAGAAGGTAATCATGTTTTTCATCTAAGTTGTCCATAGCAAAACAAACAAATCACGACAACGCATGACATGTTTATAAAAATAATTTGGAATGATGATTCATTAAACGATTGATATCAAAGCAAAAATTAATTGTAAAAACATATAAGCATGACACATCTAGTATTTCAAATTAAAACTTTGACAAATTGAATGTAGAAAAAAAAATTCTTCTTACAAGGCAATATTTTGGTCTGTTTTGTTTGTTTAAGTGTATGAAATCACCAATGTGTTTAAAATATGCATATATGATTTATTTAATATTTGTGATTGGTCATGATTTTCCCTGACTGTTAATGACGTCTTTACACTAAATCATTGGATATTGGATGTGACTGATTGACAATTTAGTCTTAGATACATGATGTTTTTTTATTAATTGTTAATGGCTTTGAACTAGCTGTCAGTAATTTCGAGTACTCTCAGATCTGTACTTAGTGTATATTTTGTTGTTAGGGATGATGGATGAATATATACCCTGCCACGTCCTGTCTGTGTTTTTGTTTGATGTTTTTCTTGGTATTGATCCGGTGAGTTAAGCCTTTTTCAACTAATTTTAATAGTTTGTTCTTATGTTGTGTTGTTGCACCACTGTCCCAGGTTAGGGGAGGGTTGAGAGCACACAAACATGTTTAACCCCGCCACATTCTGTATGTGCCTGTCCCAAGTCAGAAGCCTGTAGTTCAGTGGTTGTCGTTGGTTCATGTCTGTCATATTTGTTTTTCGTTAATTGTTTTGTTATAAATTAGGCTGTTAGTTTTCTCAATTGAATTGTTTCTTATTTTTCATGTCGGTCCTTTCATAGCCGACTATACGGTATGTGGTTTTCTCATTGTTGAAGGCCGTATTGTTGCCTATAGTTGCTTAAATCCACTTTATTTGAATTTGGTGGATAGTTGTCTCATTGACAATCAAACCAATCTCCTTATTTTTATATGAACTAGCTTTAAATAACAGCGAGTAATCTAAGATTTGTACTTTGTGTGCCTTATTCTTTATGTGATCGTTTTTGTGCTTCGTGCTCATTCGATGAGTTATATTCAGTTCCAAGTTTGTTCTATGTTGTACTTTTATACCACTCTTCGTGGTTAGGGGTGGGTAGTGCGTTCAGCAAACATGTTGAAACTAACCACATTCGATATTTGCTTGTACCAAATCAGATCATGTGATTCAGTGGTTGTCGTTGATTGCTGTCTGTCATATTTGTTTTTCGTTTATTGTTTTCCCATAAATCAGGCCGTTGATTTGTTAGATGAGCTTGTGGCCCATGTTCAGCTCAACTGGCCCACAGAGCTTTTCCCATCACTTGGCGTCCTTCGTTTGTAGTCATCTTCCGTCATCTGTCGTCGTCGTAGAGACTTTTACAAATATCTTCTCCTCTGAAACAATTGGGCCAAATTTAACCAAACATGGCCGGCCACAATCACCATTGGAGTATGATGTTTAAAAATTGTGTCCAATGATCCCGCTTGCCAACCAAGATGGTCGACAGATGGTCGACATGGCTGAAAACAGAACATAGGTGTGAGACGCAAGTTGTATCTATTATTTTGAAAACCGCTATGAATGGAGAAAGTCTGGCAGGGCACACATGTTTCGAATGTACCTATTGTCTATTTATGTGAAAACTGTCAGACGACGGCTAATAGGATTTTTTCCCTTGAATGACACATTATAACATTTTGACTATAATCTTGAAAATTATAAAAAAATAGAGAGAAACTTCAAAAAGCAAAAATTATCAGTAAGACAAGATCTTCAAATAAGTATATCGCCGAAATTGTCAGCAGGACTTCTTGCTCTTTCATGACAATTTTTACAAATTTTCAGTGTTTTTGCCTATAATCTTGAAAACTATAGTAGGTAGATAGACACTTTAAAAGGCAAAAATGATGAACAAGACAAGATCTACAAATAAGTCAAAATGGCGAAATCATTAATCGACTCGTGTTTTAGAGTTCTTGATATTTAATGACGATTTTTACCAATTTTCGGCGTTTTGCCTATAATCTTGAAAACTATGGAAGATAACTAATCAAATTTAAATATTAAAAATGATAAGCAAGACAAGATCTACAAACAAGTCATTTTTTTCCGAAATAGTTAAGAGACTCTTTATAGGAGTGACAGACGATTTTTCCCTCTTTTGTTTCGGGGCAAAACTTATAAAGATACGTAGAAACTTTTCAACAGAACAAAAAAGTACAGCAATCCAAGATCCACAAAATAGAGATTTTTGTAATGAATTCAATTCTTGTCTACATTGTTTAAGATGTACATCGACCTAGGTGAGCCACACAGGCCTCTAGTTTTCATTTTGGAGCCTATTATAGCTGACTATAACATGTATAAGGTATGAGTTGCATTCCTTTTTGAAGACCGTACGGTGACCTATGACACGTCATGCAGACTCCTATTGGTAGTTGTCTCGTTCGCTATCAAAGAGATAATGATTAAAGGCTTAACACACAATCAATCGAATAACTATATATGCGTTCAGCAGAACATGAATTTTGCCGTTTGGTGTGCAATTGTACTTTAACCCAATGTAGCCATTTATAGATACAACATCGATCGCAATTGTAAAAATTTAATTTCTTGAAGATCAAAATGATGGGTTACCATATGTTGAGCAGGATATATTCACCCTTTCGGTTACCATAACATTCTTTCCGTGGTATCTGCTGAAAAACCATTTATTATCAAAGATGTCAAAATTGAACTAAAGTCACAATCTTAGTACATTGACTAAATCCATAATCTTGAATATCGCAATCTCGCTGCGTTTGGAGAACATGCGTTTCCTTTGTTTTTTTCATCTTGATTTTTATATTCTTATAAGACTGACGAGATATAAACATTACTCTTGTCATTGATTTATTCACGGAATGTGAATTACATTATAAAATATTGTGTACTGATTATGACATTGGTCTGGCGTACCAAAAATTATGGTATTTACAATGAGTTTATTATTCAGTGTTCACTACAGTTTGATTCTGTTCGATAATTGTTTCGTTGGCAATCATGAAACACTTCCTTGTTTAATATTAATTAATTTTAATTATTTATCTATTTATTTTAGACTGCGGAAATCAGAGATTCAGGACGCTATACATCTGTCACAGAAAAATGAAACAACGCCGTTTGTATTTTAAAATGTTTTATTATATATTGACCTGATAATGATAGTGCAATGGAGTCGATAATAATGAAATTTTTTTACGAAGGACAGTTTTTTTCTAAAATTATAAAAAGTATGAAGCTGCAGAAAAACTAAGAAATTTCAAGATGTGTATTTGTATTATTTAATCTAAAGTCGGCTACCACTATTGGAGCAGAATTTGCCTACCCGTCTGGAGTGCCTAAAATCACTCCCAGCTTTTTGTTGGGTTCGTGTTGATCAGTTTTTATTTTTCTGTTGTGTAATGTTTTGCGAACGTGATTGTCTTTTCGACTTTTGTGCTTTTTTCTTTAGGTTTTTCTAGATTTATGAATTATTAAATGGCGACTTGGTCGCCTCTTTTCTTGCATCTCAATTTTTAGATGAAATAAGATTTGAGTCAAATCCCTACTCAGAAAGATATTTTAACCATCTAAACTAATCTATACCAGACTTTTTGGTGCCAAAATATTTTTGGAAAGGCTGGTAATTACACAAATAACAGAAAAGAGGCCATACTGACACGTTCAGCAGTGTTGCAGTATATTCAACCTACAGACATTTGAAAATCTACAACAAATATGTTAACAAATACATATTAAATATTTCTCTGAGATGAATCTGACACAATTATAATTTTTAAACATCTGAAGGATGTTATTTAAGAAATTTGTAAATACCAGAATTTTTATTTTTATTTTCTTGATTTTGTCTTAAAAGGATGTAGATGTGTCAAAACTAAATTTGCACCCCTCACCCCCTAGATGTTGTTTTATAACAGTTTCGATTCTAATTGATGCCCTCAAATTTTTCGTCAAAGTTTGCTTTAGAAACACGTACAGTACGTTCTGATATTTGATCATCAGTTTATAGGACATCTCCGGTTAATATGTGTTTGATTTCAAACATTTAACACTGTTTGTTTAAGCTTTGTTGCAGGAATTGTTAACCCTGCACGAACATCAAAGTTTATCACTGGTTGCATATTAAAAAATGTTATTATTATAGGTTTTATAGAGTTTGGACAATACGGAGGACACAAAAGAAAATAATTGAAGCAGTAGATCTTTCATCATTAAAGACCAAAGGTAAATGTATATTTAACTTATTTCTATTAATATAAGAACGAAAATGTATATCATCGCAGAAAAGGTTCAGTATATTGAACATTTTGCCGTGTATTTTTACTCATTCCTCCAACACGACGGGTGCCACATATGGAGCAAGATCTACTTACCCTTCCGGAGTACCGGATATCACCCCAGTTTTTTTGTGGGGTTCGTGTTGCTCAGTCTTTAATTTGTCTATGTGCGTACTATTGTTTGTCTGTTCGTCTTTTTCTTCCTTTTTATCCACGGCGTTGTCAGTTTATTTTCGACTTATGAGTTTGAATGTCCCTTGGTGTTTTTGCCTCTGTTTGATATATAAATAATGTAGAAATTATGACATCCCAAAATCGTGAAAAGTTATATTTGTTTTTGTATTCTACAATTTCATACAAATAACAAATACAAAATAGATAAACAAACAGTATGTACGTGGTCTCTCACCTTACTGGATTTTACATACTATCGAATGCAAACATGGTTTGGCGTGGTACGTTATACACAGTGAAACTATCGTTATGAAATTAATACTTTATAAATGATGGTAGTACCACTGCCCTGACTACTGAGGTTATGATATATGCCATATTACAATAAACTTTCTCCTAACGATAACACTAATTTTAGGTTTGATTTTAGACTAACATCTAGGCATTGATATGTGTCTTAAACTTTGCGCTTTGTTTGTACGAGTATCTAGTTCTTCGTTTGTTATGTTGCAATATCTGTCAATACATGCCCCAAAACAACATCTTGTCATTAAAGGTTGTGGGTCCTTTTGACAGTTAGCACACAATTTACATATCATTAATTGATTAAGAAAGAGGCGGAAGATACCACAGGATATTGAATAATTAAATATCTATTACCAATCACTTATATTTTAGAAAATTACTTATCTATGAAACATCTACACATACAAAGAAAATCGTTACTATTTTTTTTTTACTGTCAAATGATGACTAATCTGCATGCATGTTTCTTTTGCAAGCAAGTAAGATGTTTAATCTGACGGAAGATAAATACTTGAAACTAGTATTAGAAGAAGATGGATCAGAGATTCAAACAACGTCTTCTATGGTTCTCTGTCAAAATAAAGTATTAATGGCGATAGATAGGAACGAAAAATGGAAACCTGTATCATCGGATGAGAGTGATACAATAAGGTAAATGTATTCTAAATCTTAACAGTGCTTTAAGTATGTTCGCTTATTTTGTTTTTGACGTTTTGTCAGATATTCGTATTCCTCTGGATTTATCCATGTGGTGCCATTAAATCTTTTTCTTGCTAATCCCTACTTTTTATAATTTTATTTAATACAGTTTAAAAAATCATTTTGAAAATCTTATAAAATCCTTTTGTAATTTTTCAAAGTTTTTGAAAGATAAATGTAAGAACAAACATGAGATAATCATATCCCGCCAATTTTCAAAGGCTTATATCTCAAAATCAAGGACATGAACCTTGAATTTTTATTTCTGCTATAATTTTCTGCTTATATCTATTCTTTTCAATTTTTAACAGTCTTTTAAAAGGCTTACTATTTTGAAACAGAGTAGCCAAAATCTTTAATTAATAGTAATTTAGTGTCGTTTGAGACAATAAGCTACTAAAAAAACTAGCATTTCGAAAATAAATGTACTATACTTGATAAAGTATCAGGTCAAACTAGAGAGATCGAATTATTACCGATAATCAAATATCAGTTATTACTTTTGAATATACTAACAAAGCGGACACAACTTAGGAAATCACAAGGAACTCCCCCCCCCCCCCAAAAAAAAAAACGACATGCTGTTCGTCGTCGGTATATGCAAAGATAGCCATTCGAATAAGAACTAAGACAATAGATCAAGAGAGTAGAGAGATATCGGAGGGATATTCAAACGCATCAGTCGGAGACAAACTGACAACGCCATGCAAGGAAAACGACAAAAAAGAAACGACTGTCTACCAAAACGCAACACAGAAAACTAAAGAATAAGCAAAATGAACCCTAACAAGAATCGGGAGTGTTCCTAGGTACTTCGGAAGGGTTACCAGATCCAGCTCCATTTGTGACACCCATCGTGTTACTCCTATAAAAGACGTTGATAAGTAATAGCAAGTGATTAGACATCACGCATAAGCGGAGTGGTATTTGACTCGTAACCTTAAGATTTTACAAAGTCTTTAACAACTGTTATGTACCCTTTTCTTACCCTGAAACATGACTGATTATGAAATGTGGAAACTGAAACAAGGTTTGCATAACAAAGGATACTTTCAGACAAGACTGTTACAGGTAGAAACATCACACACATTGACAAATAAAAAAAAGCATTAAGAAAAACACTTTATGTAAGCAGGAGCACCACGAACTCTTATTCAACATAACTAGGGGAGACTAGGGTAGGGAAAGCAAATTTGATCAACAAACGGCAACATCCATGTTGCTAATGGTAGTACATATTTGTTGATTATTATTATTGAATGAAGTCATATGTTAAACGGACATTCCAAAAGGGTACAAAAACTCGTGATGGCGTACATAGCATTTTCTAAGGGAAGATTTCAACTTCAACACTTTGCTTAATAGCTTCCTCGTAGACAACAACAACTTGTTTTGTCGTAAGGTTTTTTTCATTAGCGACACTCATGGTCAATGTTTAGATTTAAGTCAAGTATGAGGCTTACTTAACCGTGTCTGTCGTATTCTTTATGAGGTTTGATGAGATGGATTCGTTCAATTTAATCAGCAAACTTTGAATTTAGTAATTGGATATCCTCTATATAGCGGAACATGAAGTGAGAGGAGATGCTTGCATCTTTTCATTCTGGCTAAGAATCTACTAAATGAACTCTGTATGATATGAATAAAAAAAGCAAGTCGGCAGGAAGAGGAGTACAACGAGTTCTGATGGCTATGCAACGTCGCACAAACAAGTCCTCAAAACACATAAAATGTTGTCAAGATGAGGAATAAGACACAAACAGTTAATTTACAGAATAGACCATTCTGGTACCATAGGATGTAATACCGTGAACACATTTCTCTTGTGAGTGGTAATCGTGATGTACCATTTCCTGTCCATGCTGTCGCTATTATAAAAAATGATATATAAATAATGGATCCCTTTTTAGGTTTCATAACATGATTATCTTTCAGATTAACCTATGATGTTTGTACATTCGATCGAAAACAAAGAAAGCTATTTCTAGCAAACAGTTTAAAAGATCTAAGAGACCAAGGTAAATAATTAATACTAAATCTATGACATTAAATTATTCCAATTCAACTGCACCATATTTTTATTCCGACAAATAATGTTTCGTCAGTTATGCTAGAAGCAAATATATTTGTTAATAAAAACATAATATATTAACTATAAAGCGTTTATATAACCAAACAAAACTAAAGATATAGCCAAATCGTAATATTTATTGCTCAATCAATGTATCTAGTTTCAGTTACCTGTAACAAATTGGAAAAACATGTTTCTCTAATTTATTTACTATTTTCACATTTCCCAACCGATTGTGAAAACATTGTTCTCCTCACTAGTGAAATATCTGTTCTCGGCAAATGATTGGTGGAAATTTGATTATGCCGTCAAATTTTCTTTGTTTCTTTTGAATTTCTTATTGTGACGTCATGAAAACAGGCGACCATGCCTGATGACGTCACATATAAAAACACAACTTTCTGTAAAAATTTGAAAAAGAAGGATAAAAATCATAAGAGAAACAGATTCCACCACTATAACTCGTGTATTACGATATTTCTCCACTCTCAACAGATAAATTTGTATTATCTCAAAAGCTCGGCTAGCCTCGCGCTTTAAATATTGAAATTTAACTGTCTCGAGTGGAGGAATATCGTAACACTTGTTGCAGTGGTGGAATCTATGTTTCCATATATTTTCTTTTGTAAGACAACTCTAAAGCATTAAAAAATACCGGCTATCCAAAATCCACAGTTGAAAAAAATATATGACTTGGCATACACAATGCGTTGATTCTAACATCACTGATAAGTCTTAGTCTTTTGTAGACGAAACACGCATTTGGCGTACAAAATTAGAAAGCCTGGTATCATGGTGATTTTTTTACGGTTACGACCTTGCATTTTTAGACTCATTCATGACATTTTGAATCTAACAGATCTAGCATACCTACGTTTAAAATCTTAAATTATTACTAGTTTTGCATGCCCTGTACCTTAATATTTTCTATCATATATTTGTGATGTTATGATGCTGACATAGTAGGGGTACTTTTCGGTTCCTGTGGTTTTGAGTTTCTGAGTTTAATTGATTCTTTTTCATTTTACTGTTTGTCTGGTCTGTACCGTGACTATTCAGGTATTTACTAAACTTTGTCATACTCTGTTGATTTTACAACTGGGCAAATCATATTTGTATTTTTATTGTGTATTGCAATAGTTTCCTTAAGTAATGTAGTAACTCGTGAATAGTTCTAGACTTATAGTTTGGTACGCCAGACGAGCGATTCTACCACATACAACTCATCAGTGAAATATAGTTCGAATAAAAAAGATATACAGTTTTTTAGCTGTGAAAAGAAGTCCAACTGAATTTTCAAATTATGCTTTTCACGGAAATCAATATGAAGCGGTCTATAATATTATCTGGCGAAAAATCAGATATGGATCCATACGATGCATCAGGGACGACCTATTTTTAATCCAAGGAATTAATATTACGCATTCAAATCAATTCTGAAGGCGATGATATGGACAATATAAATCTTTTCATGCGTAAAAAATCTAATTCATCTTTTTAAATTAATGTCTGTAACTCAAATGATGTTATAAGCGAGAGTTCATATTCGAAACAGATTTTCTTATTATCTCAGTTTAAACATTCTTTTGCTGAGTCACGAACGCTTTGAGAATAAAATATGGTCGTATTCATATGCACGGACATTGTTTTCATTTATGAATTTGCATTTCCTTTGAAATTGCATTCATTATCTTTGTAGTAAAAACGATCTTTGGACAAGAAGCGAATTATTTCTGTCTTGAAATTGATGGTACGGTGATTGATGATGATATTTCGCTGACTGCCGTTGCTGGACAACAATTGATGGCAATGACTGAAATAACCGGGTGGACACCTCTGCCTCCTGGAGAGACAGCAAAGAGTTTGTCTGAATTGAATATTGATGAGCTATCCAACGACAAGAAGTGAGTTAATATAAAGTCATGCATTTTAAGGGTATATGTTTTTTTTTTGTAAAGGGAAGATCTGAAATGCACGATCACAGACTTAATAGATGTAAACGTAATTACATTGAAACTCGGCTTATTTTATGTATACCAACGTTTGCCTGGTCGTTTCATGCAAACGATGGTACTTGATTAGTTATCAAACCAAAGAGATTGGCTGGGGTAAAGGCATATGTCCATCTGTAGGTTTTTCCAACATTTAAACAAATTTAAAGAGAAGTACCTGTTTGGCTGCACGAATTATATAAAAATACAAACACTATTGTTTTAGAAAAAGGGTGAAGGTTTGGTACCATTAAAACGTTTAAACGCGTTGCAATTGTTTGCACCTGTCCTAAGTCAGAAATCTGATGTTCAGTAGTTGTCGTTTGTTGATGTGGTTCATAAGTGTTTCTCGTTTCTCGTTTTTTTATATAGATTAGACCGTTGGTTTTCCCGTTTGAATGGTTTTACACTAGTAATTCTTGGTGCCCTTTATAGCTTGCTCTTGCTGTTCGTTGTGAGCCAAGGCTCCGTGTTGAAGACCGTACTTTGATCTATAATGGTTTACTTTTATAAACTTTGACTAGAATGGAGAGTTGTCTCATTGGCACTCATACCACATCTTCTTATATCTATAAAGCCTATTCTGTTTGCAATTAGGACGTTAAATAAGTTGCATCAGTGAGTCATTAAATCAATCGTTATTTATTGAATTATATTTTCAAAACCAATATTCTTTTCAAATTCTTATTGACTTTTTATTTTGTTTTACAGAGATTGTTACAAAGTATGGTCAAAAGATCTCCGTTATAAGAGGATAATATTTGCCAGTGACTTAGTTGATTTACACATAAAAGGTACATTGTATTCAGTATATATACATATATTTCATATAACGTTTATGTCATTTGGTCTCTGCATGGTGGAGAGTTGTCTCTTTAGCAATCATACCATATCTTCTTATATATATATATATATATAAATATATATATATATCAATCCTACGATACCATTTTAATTATAAACATTTAAACTACAGATGCTATAAAAGTCACGAAAAACACATTATATATATATAATCCGTTTTTTATAAAATGCAAAATGGAATAAGATGCAATTAATGCAATTCTATAAAGTTTTTACTAATGGACAATTTCGAGGTTTGTCAGGGTCAATTTAACCTCTTTCGAATCCCCAAATGATGACATACTAGCCTTTTATAACATCATACAAATATAACTTATATTCCCTTTATTCAAAATATTTTAAATTGGTGTTTCCTTGACAGTAAGTACATTATATAATGTTTACGCTGCAACGAAGTATTACGGTAGAAGAGGACAATATATATACAACTATTGTATTTCTTTTGGACTGTGCATTTATTTGCAGATTGTAATTACCAGAAATTACTTTGATTATGAACAGTCTTGCAAATTTTTTTCATACCCTTTCCCAATTTGCTTTATCACGTGTTATGCCTCAAATAGCAAAAAAGAAAAAAAAATTGGGTAATGAATTTTAAAATAAAAAGTGATTTGGTCCAGTTGCTAAAGGTTAAAAATTAGTATGCCTGAAGCTGTCATACATTATTCAAGACCCCCTTTACATAAAGTTGTCCATATTTTGAGCCGATAACACTTTTTATAGTTTTTTATATATATTTAACCTAAAGTAGTACACCCCACTATCAAAATATTATTGAGAAAGCGCAGGTACGAATTTTTTAAATTTGCATTTATTGTCTAAAAGAAATGCTCTACGAAATAACTGTGTTCTGGGGCCAATATGACAATATACTTCTAACAATGATTACATTTCAAGAATTCAATGTAATTAATACTATATTAAGAATAACTTAAGAATTAGGTTGTCACTCAAAATGTCTAAGAAACCATAAATACAATAAAATTGAGAATGGAAATGGGGAATGTGTCAAAGAGACAACAACCCGACCATAGAGCAGACAACAGCCGAAGGCCACTAATGGGTCTTCAATGCAGCGAGAAACTCCCGCACCCGGAGGCGTCCTTCAGTTGGCCCCTAAACAAATATGTATACTAGTTCAGTGATAATGGACGTCATACTAAACTCCAAATTATACACAAGAAACTAAAATTAAAAATGATACAAGACTAACAAAGGTCAGAGGCTCCTGACTTGGGACAGGCGCAAAAATGCGGCGGGGTTAAACATGTTTTTTGAGATCTCAACCCTCCCCCTATACCTCTAGCCAATGTAGAAAAAACAAACGTACAACAGTACGCACAGTAAAACTCAGTATAAGAGAAGTCCGAGTCCGATGTCAGAATAGGAAACAAAAGAAAATAAACAAAATGACAATAATACATAAATAACAACAGACTACGAGCAGTTACTGACATGCCAGCTCCAGACCTCAATTAAACTGATTGAAAGATTATGTCTTCATGATATGAATATCAGGCACAATTCCTCCTGTTAGGGGTTTAGTATCATACCATCATAAAATATATGAGAAGAACATAACCCGTGTCATGCCAACAACTGGTTTTAGAATAAATATGTTTAATTCCGATGCAAAGATCCTATAAGTGAATCAATATTAAAGCCAAAATATGCAATCTTTAATGACCTGACAACAGTATCGTAACTATATCCTTTCTTAATAAGTCTGTTCAAAGGATTTGTTAGCTTTTGAGGTAAATACTGACATTTTTGTGCTTTGTAAAGAATATTACCATAAAAGATTGGATGTGAAATACCCGAACGTATAAGATGTCTGCATGTTGAGTTATATTTACGAATGATGTCCTTATACCAATGATAAAATTTAGTAAAACCTACTTAACCATCGCTCATTATATGATGCTAGCAGGAGTTTCTGATTTATTTTTACACTTTTTAGCTGCAAGAGCTTTGTGTCTGAGACCACCTATAGAAATATCTATTTTGGATGATGATGTGCCAATATTTGATAATCAGCAACTAATACATCATAGAAAGGATATTTTACTAGCAGTAGATGCTGGTGATGCGCACAGTGTGGCTCATACTTCAGATTATACAGACATACCGGATGTACTTCAACAGACACCATATAGGTGGAATTATACGGATGACACATACTTCTGACAATATTATGTGTTTTATATCAGGACATTCTATTGTATGATAAATCTATATTACTTTATATAAAGATATTAAATCAAGAACTTTTTTAATCAGTATAAAATTTTAAGCACTGGTAGACAGAACAATACTCTTAAGGACACATACATACTGTGTATTTATATCGGACTTATCATTATTGCTTACAACCACATCATTTGAAATCTTGTGTATAAATGTCTCAAGGGCAATCATACTACATCTCTATATTTTAATTTGTATGGTAAGTGTGCGAGAAAATAACAAAGGTCACCATCATTATCAATCATACATGAAATCCGTGTTTTTGTTTGCATCTAAAATATTACTGTCTGAAGCTAACCTCATGAAGTACAAATATACGTTCAGTCTACAAGTGCACAATAAGGACATATGTATACGTTAATTGTTCTACAATCGTTGTACACCATTTATTTTGTGTCTTTTTTGTTTTTGGTAGCTTTGTTTGTGTGTTTTGTATCGATCTGATGAGTTAAGTCTTTGCAACTTATTTTATAGTTTGTTTTAATGTTGTACTGTTAAACCACTGTCTCGGGTTAAGGGGAAGGTTTGACGCCAGCAAACATATTTAACCCCGCCACATTGTGTATGTACCTGTGCCAAGTCAGAAGCCTGCAATTTATTGGTTTTCGTTTGTTGCTGTATATCATATTTGTTTTTGTTGATTGTATTGTACATAAAAAAGGGACGAAAGATATCAGAGGGACAGTCAAACTCATAAATCGAAAACACACTGACAACGCAATGGCCAAAAAAAAAAGACAAACAGACAAATATTAATACAGATGATTGATTGATTGATTGATTTTTGGTGTTTTAACGCCACTTTTAAGCACCGCTTTTGGGCTATTTCGTGGCGGAGTGCCCGGAGAAAACCACCGACCTTCGATAGGAAAACTGACAATCCTAGTCAATTAAGATTGGAGTCGAGTGCACCCGCACGAGCGGGGTCGAACTCACAACCTCAGTGTTGACTGGCTAGTGATTATAGTAGTAACTACTTAGACCACTCGGCCAACGAGGCCCCTAATACAGATGACACAACATAGAAAACCAAAGACTAAGCAACATGAACCCCACCAAAAATACATAAATCAGACTGTTAGTTTTCTCGTTTGAATATTTCTACATTTGTCATATCTGGGCCTTTTATATGCAGTATGGTTTTTACCCATTGTTAAACTCTCCACAGTGAACGTTAGGTAGTTGTTAACTTTTACGTCATTTGGTCTCTGGTTGAGTATTGTCCCTTTGGCAATTATGCCACATCTTCATATTTTAATATTCACCATCTTCATTATCTCTCAATTATGATTGTATATCTCTAATTTAAAGAACTGTGGACAGTATAAAGGGTTCGTAGACATTGACTTCAAAATACACATCAGAACTGTTTCATTCCTTATCCTTTCGATATGGATAAACACTTAAATATAAAAATCACGGTATAATAAACATGATAAATATATTTTGTTATTCGTTGTACAAGAATAATACCAAGTAAGACAACACGTATTCATTGTTCTAAAATGACTGAACCAACAGGTTTTAGAATTCTAGCAAAAACCGACTTGTCCACTAGTGTAATTCAAGATGAATACCTGTTTTGCTACAAGCATATTATTTCGTTTATTAATTTGTAACTCTTATTGGTTTATTGTTATTATTGTGATTATAAGTTGTAAAAATTATTTTAAGATGAAAAAATCAGAAAAAACTGAGAATGTATGATACTTTTCCTCACTTGCTCATTTCATCTATCGTATTCTTACCTCATTTTTAAATGTGTAAATACACTTATTTGTGGTAATAATCGTGATTGTAAGAAAGAAAGGTATTAAATTTGACAAGCTATTTTATCAATTAATAAGCCAACATTTTTATTGCATTTTTAATGAATTTAACAATTTTTAATTTTGTCAGGAGAGATATCATTTGCACAAGTATTTTCAGTTTATTGCATTTGATATTTCTGTACATCTAAACATCAAACAATGCTAAACCATTACTTCAAATAGCCTGAAAACCGATATGGATATCCTACTTTATCTTATTTTTATAAACCACCTCATTCCTCGAATATTGATAACTATGGTTATTTGGTTGGTTTATTTTCCCCAAAAAGGATTTAAATTCTTCATTAATCCTAAAGTGAATCTTTGATAAACTAATAACATGTTTAACCCAATTATTCCTGGAAAATAATGTTGATCTTTATTTTAAAATTTCATTTTGAATGTATAAACATTTACCTCTATTTCCTGGAGTTAAGAACATTATACAGTATATAAGCTATACACCTTAAAACTCTTTAAATGACAATTCAAAACCAATAAGGAATAGATATTTAAGGCAAGGATATACATTGAAAATACATACTATCAAATATACACGATCATTTCAATATTGTCATTTAAACTTGCAGACAACATTCAAATCATTTGATTTTATACGTATCAATTACATTAATTTATAAATACAACTAAATATACTTTAATATACACTTTTTATAACATTAGGCACTCAAATTTCTAAGCATGTGTAGTATTTATTAGCATTTTGCTAACAAAAAGAAAACAATCTTCTGAAACAGAAAATCAAAATAACATTCTTTCTATATATTACGTAAACACTCAGTATAATTAAATATTTCTTTTTTTCTTTAAGTTTATTCCATTAGTACTATTGAGTACAAAAAACATTTGTAATAAAATTCTGAACCTTCCCCAATATTAGTTATAATATGAGACACACAATTTGGTAAGTACAAGTTATATTCAACCAAACAAAATATATACATGGTAATGTTAATTTACACAAAGTAGTATACGATCACCAATCGGATATACGATGCAGAACAGGCTACAAAATATGCATACATCTAACATCAGCTTGAATGTGCGATATTACGTATAACTTAAACATAAGCTTTGATTGTTGTTTACCAGGTTATGAATTATCTCCCAAATGAGTTATAATATAGATACACTTTTACATTCATGTATTTAGTTATGATGTTTCTTTTGTAAGTCTGGTAAGATATTGTGTTATGTCTTATCTTTTATGGTATACATTCTGTATTTTCGGTACATTTCAAATATGTCTTGTTCGTCAGTATAGTCGAGTTACTCGTGGTTCGTCAGTGTTTTTGTTATATGTTGTTTGTTTTCAAGTGTGTTTAATGTTTGTTCTTACATCATCTTGCCTTATATTACAGTTATTTTATTTTTATTTTTTATATGTATGTAAAACTTAAGATAATAAATCAGCTATTTCATTTATATGATTTTAAGTTTAAAGCTGCTATATGCACAGGATTTGTTTGTTTATACACAGTTTTGATTTAAAAGTAAAACCGACATGTTCAGAAATACAAATAATAACACCATTACAAACACAATTCCATTTTAGTATTCTTGGCATGGTAAAAAAATACATAAAATATCACCATTACAAACTCAATCCCAATTTTATATTCTTGTACGTGTCTACAAAAAAACAAATCTATTCTATTTTTAGAAATTTACCGGTGATAATACAAACGTCACAAAAATACGTCATTTTTTGTGGCGTTGATACAATCGTGTGACACGCAGTTTATACTTCATTTGTGGTGTACTGGTGTACAGTCGTAATTTCATGGGAAGTGTCCGTTGTTATTCTGTGGTTTACATGTTGTAATGTACTTTTATATTATCTATTAATCATTTGCAGGATGCAATGTTTTCCTTTGTTGTTTTGTTTCTTTTTTTGGGGGGGGGGGGGGGGATCTTGTGATTTCCTTAGTTGTTTCTGCTTTGTTAGTATATTCAAAAGTAATAACTGATATTTGATTATGGGTAATAATTCAATCTCTCTAGTTTGACCTGTCAAAATGACTGTATGTAATGACTAATTTTAAATCCCGTTTCGATGTACTTCATTTAATGTGCATACTAGGTTTACTAACTTTGAAGGGTCTTAATTTACTATTTTAAGAACGATAAAAGCCGAAAGGCCTATAAATATAGAAGTGCATTGGGTTTTAACAAAAATAGAACGAAGAAAAAAAAAAGTCCAAGGTTAATAAATCAGAGTAATAGTTTCAAGTACAAAATAGGTCAACAGTAACACGCAAGGAAATGTGATCGTTCGTTTTTTTGTTTTTTGTGTTTGTTTGTTACTATTCTACATTTAGTTTCTAGAATTGTTATTGCACAGATGTTTTAAAGTAAGACGAATTGTTCTCCTTTAGGAAGTTGTAGAACACTTTTTTGCTATCATGGAAAAGAAAAAGTGCTAGTTTTATAGCATATATCCGATCAAAATAGTCATTGACGTATGACTGTACTACAATCTCCAAAAGTGTATGATTCTAGTACACATTTTAGCGTTGGGACTATTGATATTTAGCCAATTATTCTTGAATTTAAGTGATAAATTGATATGATATAAATGTCTTTGAATTTGTAATATCCTGTTTTACTTCGTCGTATTTTAATTGACATTCCAACTGTTTTTATTCCGGTGCCACTCATGACTCTCACGTGTCAAAAGACACGTTTGGTTCACCAGATTATAACCTGGTATCTTTGATGTGTGGTTTACTCTTAACAAAAATATGACTTTTAACTGCGAAGTTTGGTTTTCAGTTACATTCGATAAAACAGGTATGTTAAAATAAGGAGTATAATAACAGTTATGGTGATATGAATTGTTCTCTTAATGTTTGCTGCATTTCCATGTATATCTTAAACCATATAGTTTTACGTACCCGTATAGTTTTCTCCACTGTCAGTACCTGTTGTAATGTCTTGGTTAGCACTGTCATTACGTAATATATTACTGTCATCTAAAATGACAGATTTTATAATATATTATTAAATATGGAATGCAGATTTCTTTGTAAAAAAATGAAATATTGGCAGAAATGTTTTACTGGTCTTCCTCTATGAATATGTATAAAAAGTAGAGCTTTTTACATGTGTTAAAAGTATTGCACCTGGATCTAATATTACATTCTATTCTTTCTCATTAAAGTTTTGTTGGCGTTAGAGAGATTTTGAGAAAAGCAATATTGTATGGAAGCAAACGGGAAAAACAAAACGTTGGAATTCGACAATACTTCCTTATAAAAGCTGTACGAAGTGGACAAGGTAACGTTTTAAAATATTTTGTACTGTAGTATAAAATGATTATTCCACTAATATTGGGGGAAACTGTCCCTCGGGACAATATTCCTCAATATCAGTGCAATAACACTATAACATTTAAATCAATCACATTTATGTAACTTAACTTATATTAAATTGGTGTGTAAGCTTAAGAGTTGACACACTGATATTCCTTTACTTCTAAAGTAAGTATAACGTGCACAATGAATTGCAAGTAGCAACTTTATCATTGAATAATGAAAACAGTGTAACGCAAATAGTAACTTTATCATTAAATAATGAATACAGTGTAATGAAAATAGCAACTTTA